CTTGGTTATATGGATACAGATTCTTATATCATCAAAACCAAGACTGAAGATATCTATAAAGATATGGCTGAACGACCAGATCTTTTTAATCTCAATGGGGATCAAACTGTTGGTAAATTTAAGGATGAGACTCCTGGTAATGTGATCACAGAATCATTTCACATTCGATCTAAGTCTTACCATTATGTCTTAGCAGATAAGACCACAAATTCAAGACATAAGGGAGTTAGCAAGAAGGGCATGGGTGAAATGGCTACAGATATATATATGTCGAAATTAGCTGGTTCATTATTTGATGATCCGGTAGACGAATCCAAAGTATTTGATCCTATGACTCAAGTATATCGAGATTGTCTCTTTGGTAAAGAAGTATTCTACGCTAAGAATGTAAGCATCCGATCAAAAGATCACGTACTATCCCTAGTTGAGTCTGAGAAAAAGGCTCTCGGTCCCTTAAATACTAAGCGTTGGTACCTAACAGATGGGATATCCGAATTACCTTATGGGCATTGGCGCAATACGATTTATAAAAATATGGTAAAAGATCGTATACCTCATGAAGTGGCCGAAAAAAGAGCTATAAGGGGCAAGCTCCCAGAAAAATATCAAAACGAATGTACGTCTCACATAGCTAGCTCTTCCCAATAAGCTACTAGTGAAAGAGTATTCTATAGTCTCGATCGAAGGAGTGATATTATTATAACAAATATTTTTTTCGGATAAAAAATTTCTAAGGAATATATTTTTATTAATTAAAGTTTTTTTTCTATTGCTATAGTAGAAACATACAAAAATGGCAACCGAAATAACTAGTCTAGAGGACATTATAGATAGTACAAATAAAAATATAAAAAAGGTTTTCCAAAATGGTGTTAAACCTGAAGCCAAGCAAGAGGTATATATAATTGGGCTTAAATTAACATTGGATAGATTAGCACGAGAGTTAGAATTTGCGCAAAGTAATTATCAAGGCATAACTTCTAATCAGATTAATTGAATTTGATAGACCCCTGAGCGTCTTATCGCTTAACCACGCTAGGTCCTTAAGAAGGCAGGATTTTCTGGCTTCGAATTTATGAGAAGGCGGGATGAACGTCAATTTCAGAATGTTGTTTCATTCGGGATCGGTAAATTAATCGACTAATAGGATTACCGTATTTGTTTCAGAGACTTTCATGTTTTGCGATGATCGTCCATACTAATGAAGGTCAATTTCGGAATGTTGTTTCATTCGGGATCGGCAAATTAATCAACTATTATGTTTTGCGACGATCGTAGCCCCTTCTTCGGTCAAGACCTTCAGAAGATTACCTAAACATGATAGGATATTTTTTTTTTCGAATTTATGAACGGAGGAAGAAAAAACAATTTATGAGAAGGTGGGCTATGGCAAAAATCGAACAATACAAACTAATTGGTATTATATATATCTTTTCATCATTGATCCTGATTTATTCGTGATCTTCATTCCGTGATGCTCATTTCCGAGACGTTCATTTCTGAGATAAATTTTCTCGGGGTAAGGCTAATTTCGATTTAGTCTTGATATATGAAAAAATATTTATGTAGGGAGTAAAGGGTGAGAAATCTTCTTTATGATTTAACAGAATGACTAGCGAACTACCAGCAAGTCCTTCAGAAATTCATGCGGACGATACAGAGATTTTTCAACTTAAAGCACTTTCGTTAAATTTCCTAAGAAACACTTCTGAAATAACTGATGAACATATCCCAAAACTTAATCCTTGCCACTTCTGCGATGAAGAAATTCTTGCCTTACCTCTTAATTCATTCACAGTATTATCATGTGAACATATATACCATCGAATATGTCTTGAAAAACATATTGTACGATCAAAAACACGTGTTCCTTTATGCCCCATTTCTAGTTGTATATCACCTATCGAACTTATTAGGGAGGAACTTGCTCTAGCTTCTGGTGAGTATCACATGGTGTCTAAAAATAATGATTTCAGAAAAAAAGACCCCTTAAGTGATGATACTATAGAAGACGAAGATTCTCTTGCAGGTCAGGGGGAAAAGAGAACCGAAGTTACTACGCATGATCAAGCGACAAGTCCAATTGCGTATGTGGAAGAGATACCAGAGCTATCAGATATCATCGATGATGCTGAAAATGATGATGATGGGAATAACAATTATAGTTCTCAAATAAGGTAGGTAATGCAGGGAAAATGGAAAATGGAATATGTAGTAATCATACTCACCTTTCATTCTGTTTATTCCCTGAAATATATGATTGAAGGATGGATAATTCGACTAATCAAACAACTGAAGATGACGTTGCTAATATACAAATCCGATCATCAAGAAAAACATCCCCAAGAACCAATCGTGAACAGGAAAGATTTCGAGGGTTGTTACATGAATTATCTACACCTATTAAGGGGGAGACTACCGAAACCAGTAATGAGGATGAGGGTTCTGAAGGTTCGATCTCGCAGAATTTAGCTCGATTATTCCAAAAAGCAATTAAGGCCGAAAAGCGTGTAACTCAAGCTTATCAAGAGGAAATTCACTGTTGGTACTACTATGCTGAACGGTTTGAAAAAAGTGTTAAGGATGTTAAAGATAATGATAAGAGGGTTAAAGATCAACAGGCTAG